GACTTGAAAACTTTGTTCAGAGAGAGGGTGGAATGTTAAAATGAAGAGACAACATCCATAGTGCACATGTTTTAATTATTTGTGCCCCCCCCCCCCCCCAATACATTGGGTGGTCACAATACACATAATTGTACTAAAAGCCAAGTATGCACATGTCAAGACTGTCATTCCAATGAACCACAACTGAAACTCAAATGTTGATCCTAGCAGGTGTCCGGTGTATCACAGAAATTAAAACTCTCTGCATGTATCATCTTGCAACAAGACATGATTATATTCCACCACTGCTCTGGTAAACAGTCAGAATATTTATAGCCTCAACTCATTAATACATGTACAGCAAATAGTGATGTCGTGGTGCATGAGCCTCCGTAAAGTAAGTCAAAATACTGCTATTCTATCAATTTCATCATTTTTTGTTATAATATAGACTACTACAGTAGAATATTAAGCACTAATTTAAAGCTACAGCTGGTTATGACCTAGACAGCAATGAAGTGCCATACATAGTTTTCAATGTACCCAAGTATGGCAGTTAATGTTACAGTATGAACTAGCTTCACAGTTAATGTATACATTTGTAATTTACAAGCATGAAATGCGAGTCGATGGGCTTTTATGTTGCAAGAAGCCCAATGCTGGCTCAGCTGAAATTTTGATGCAAGCAGCCTAATGCATTTTATACTCTAATCTTAATGTAGTTAACGTTCATGCTAAATATAATGCAGGCCATCAATAACTTGAACATGATACCCCACCTACATGCATGTTCATACTTTAGTATCCTGGATCATAGGTCGCCAACTATACTTTAAACACAAGTTACTGACACTGGAATTCTCCAAAACTTTGTACTGAAGGATCTTTGCATGTTTTTACTAGCACATGCACTTACCCCAGGGACATTCACAGGCACATCTCCGGTCAAAAAAGCTCACTTTTCTAATTCAGTATACAATAAACACAAACAAATTCTGATTGAGCTAAGCAAATACAGTAGTATAACCCATTTTTGTCCAGCTTTTAACTATTAACAAACACCCAAACCATCGTATTAAATTCAAAAGGATCCATTTGTATTAAAGAAGTTTAGAAAAAATTGCAGAAAAATCTGGTGAAATATACAACACCCTCCGTTGAAATATCGTACAGTAGCTTATTTTACTGTGATACGACTCTGGGTTGTCTGTACTAAACTTCCACTACAGATAAAATAATTTGTTAGAAAATTACACCCAACCCACCCAAGGTTTGAGACGTTGCGAGGCGGATAGTTTCCGTGCCGTCCCCCATTTACAGAGTTAAAATTACTGAACAAAAACAAAAGGAAAATTTAGTCAAGGCATCCGCGGCGTGGCCCAAATGTCTTCATGACCTCGTGCCACACAAACGGGTCTTCCACGGAAAGTTCGATGTCGACCAGAGACGCATTTCGGCGAAGCTACACCAGTTAACAGTACGATGTGACGGACATCGTCAAAGGGCATGTGTCAATGAGAAGCCTAAACAGAAACTGACCCACCACTGTCCCGTCTGGCGTCACTTGGATGCAAGTTGGATTGAGACTACACGCGGACGTAACGGTAATTTTCGTGCGAAATTAAAGTTTTCTTCACCAAATTAAACAAACATTGGAACATCAGATTCATATGAATTTACGAGAGGAAGCCCCGGACAGCAACTAGCAAATTAAACACGAAATATTTAAAGAATTTGAGGAACGCACACACAGTACCTGCAGAACGCCATTTTGAGACTTCAATGAACTTTGTTCGGCGCGTTGCTTTGATTTATACTACCGTGTATTAATCCGCGAACAAATTATCAACGTTACAGCTGTTGAAATAGGAGCTTTGCACATTATTGACATTGTTATTATCGACTAGTTTTAACTTAATTTTAAAATTAATTTAGTGACAGTTATCGTCAATACACAGTGAATACATAAGATAATAAACAACGACGCACTATATTTTTAAGGAGCGGTACAATTTCTAAAGAAGGTGCTGTTCGGCACTTCCGGTACCACTTCTGTGTATGTATTTTGACACTGTACTGATTTTACTACTTCCTTTTCAAAATGTCAAAATCTGCCAAAAAGCAAGTGGATGACTGCAAAGAACATGGACAAGAAGAACTTGATCTCAGTGAAAGAAACATTACAAACATAATGGACGTGCCGGGACTACGTAAGTTCGAAAAGATAACACCTATATTTTCTAAGTTCTTGTAAGATGTCTATATTATAGCCTGGCTACCTTCTAATTTCGCGAGTAATTTCGGTCCTTTCCACTATGAAAGGGCCGAAGGACACACGAAATAATAGGAAGGGAACCAGACTAGTAAGTTATATTTTTCGACTGCAAGCAAACTATATCGCTGACGGAACTATATATCGTTCTCACAATTTAAA